AGGCTATTGAATAGTCTACAAGATTTACATATAGTCAACGATAAAGTGGCCCAGAATTGGGTGGAACCCGACGCACAGGGAGTTCTGCCTCTACTCAAAGAAATTGGGAATCGAAACACTTATACTCAGCTATAAATTCATTAAAATTTTGTTTAAAAATCATATATTCTTTGATATTATTCGCAATCAATATTATAAATATATTATAAATTGTGAGTTAAACGGATCGCCAATGTGATAATATAATATATATTTTATTAATAAATTTTTTGTTTGATTATATTGCAATCAATTATTACAATATCCTACTGAATTTGTATTGCATAAAGAAAGTACAAATAAAATTAAGTTTTGCACAGTATATTTATTTAGTACTGATTAGCATTTGCGAGAAAATGGAGTTGAGAGTTGGATTAACGAGTTATCATAAATAAGACAAAATAAGTTATGCAAAATTATATAATAACTACTTTAATTTAATAAACATATTTTTATTATAATTCTTTAAGAAATTTATAACTTATTAAGAACCAGTTTAATAACAAGCTCAAACAGAAAAATAATTATTATTTTAATGTTGAGAATTTAACTAAATATTCTCAACCATTGTATTAATAAAATGATGGACCTAATTTGCACCACAACTAATATGTGTGTTAGTTAATGTACCAAATGTACCAAGTGTATCAAGTAAAGGTGAGATAAAAGTATAATTAAGAGATATATGTGCCCAAATTGCATATTTGTTTATTAAAATCAATATATTTTTTCTAAAAATATTTATAATTACTGGCTACTCCACTGATTATACCAACAATGAGATAAAGTTGAGTACATGATCTGCTTTTGAAGTCATATGACAGTAATTCTCGACTAGATATCAAACAATTTATTAGATGTGTTGTCTTAGGAACTGTTATTAATATCTATAATAAATGTCTGCCTGTATTACATAAAATTATTATGAATTAGTTTACAATTAAAATATTTTTAAACATAAAAATAGTTAAAAATTCTGGATATATACAGACGTTAAGTACAATTATGACGGATAAAGAGACCAACAAAATTTGTCTGGTTTGTGGCGATAAAGCTATTGGTATGCATTTAAAATTACTTTTTTACAGATACCATTACATTGTAGGGACTAAAATATACCTGGTTGTTATGACATTGAAAAATAAACCTACTTATTCTGATGAAATATTCTTGGCAATTACTAGAATATTTTATGATTAACTATATATAAATTATAAAATACTTTTGAATAGACAAAGTTTACTTAAATAAAAAATATAATATAATAATAATGTGCTGGTATTATGTTTATAGTTATTGGTAAATTCAAATTTATTTAATTTAAATTATTTGTTTGATTATAGGCACAAATTTTAATGTAATTACATGCGAGTCGTGTAAAGTGTTATTCAGGAGGAATGCCCTACACTATGATGTAAACCATTAATATGATATTAAATGATACGATTATTATTAACCCAATTGTATTGACTGAACAGAAATTCAAGTGTCAATTCGGAGATAATTGCAAAATAGATGTCTTGAGGCGACGATTCTGTAAGAAGTGTCGACTCAAGAAGTGCTTTGAAGTGGGCATGAAAAAGGTATTCCCAATG